AACTCTGCCACAGATTGGCTACGCCATTTCATATCCAGCTAATCAAAAATTGGACCATTTATGCCAATCTCTTACTATAGTGTTTCTGGTACAATCGCTTTTTTCAGCGTTCAGTGGTTGGAGTAATGAATGCACCCATGTCGATGTGTCGCATTTTATTGGTAAAACAGCAATCTCGTTGAAATTCGGACTTCACTTTAAGATCCCCTGAAGTCCCAAGAAACATCAACATATTTTTCTATCTCAAATTTTTGTAACTCGAGTTCTAATCAACATTTTTAGACCGTAATTAGTATTTAAGTATAAAAATAGTGGCTCTTTTCGAAAATCTAATCGGTAATAAGGTGAAATGTTTAGAAAAAAAGATATAAAGATTACAAATGGAAATAAAGAAAGGTAAGTGACGTCTGTTTTTTTTACTAAAAAGTATTCAATAAACATTTTTGTCTACTTTTTGAGTAAAATACAAAATTAATGATAATAAAGGACTCTTTATATAAATAAATACAATCTAGGGCAAGTAAGAGAGTCTAACATATAAATTTATATGTTAGACTCTTATTTGCCCTAGATTGTATTTATTATTTATTTATATAAATTTTATTTATTTATAAAAAAAATCGACTCTTATTTGCCTGTTTATCGTTGTATTGTTATTAAAATATTTAATTAATAAATGATTTTGTTCACCTTTTTAAATAAACTAAATTGTTGTAATTATTATTTGTATGATCTATAATTGCATCAATGTATTTTACTCAATAAATACAATCTAGGGCAAGTAAGAGAATCTAACATATAAATTTATATGTTAGACTCTTACTTGCCCTAGATTGTATTTATTACCATCGTCAAAGAGATAAAAACACATGATGTAATGTGTTCCAATTTATGTAGCGATCTTGATGACTGTCACTTGGAAAACGTCCGATACTTACAATCGACCATCTAATTGTTCGTAAGTATCAGATGTCTTCCATGTAACAATCATCAAGATCTCTACATAAATTGGAACACATTACACCATGTTTTTTTATCTCTTTGACGATGGTAACTAAAGTAAAGCGAGAAAAGAATAATATCTGAAGATGGCTCAATATAAGAGCTGAAACATGTATAATATTTCTAGTTTCACAATTTTAAAAATTGACTCTTATTTGCCCGTTTATCGTTATATTGTTATTGAATTTTTAAGAGTCCTTGACTATTTTATATTATTTAAATATTTCAATCAATAAAAAGGAAATCACTCTTACTCTTAATTGCACTTTCAAGCTTTATATCTTTTTCTCCAGATACTCTATCCCATCTTCAACTTGATTTTCAGAAAGAGCTCTTTTTATATTTAAATACCAATTACGCGGCCTAAAAATATTGATTAAAACCCTAAGTTACAAGGATTTAAAACAGAAACGTGCATAATGGTCTTTTGGGATTTTATGGGTCAATATAAATATTCCTATTTAGTTAATAAATGTTTTATATTGTATAACTTACCTGTTCCAGCTGTGCTAGTACCAGCTGCTGCGCTACCAAACGGTGATGTCTGCGCCGATGTCCCAAAAAGACCTGTTTGTGGACCTGTTCGAAAAAAGAGAAAAGAAAAAAGCCACAAAATATTTTACCTTTCATTTTAGGTTGAAATAATGAATCAATACAATATACCTTTTCTTCCAAGTTGATAATCTTCAAAACGTAACTCCTCGTATGATTTAGATTCATATTCCTTCATAGATGCAATGCAACAGTGACGGGCTGAAATGCTGTGTGATATTCCATTTTTTGACATAGAATCAGTTGTAATGACAGGTGTGAATTTCACAGCGGTACCAGCTGGTATAGTAGTGGGGTTAGTATTGCCAAAACCTGTACAGAGAGAAATCAAAGTGCTTAAAATTTTAAGTATTATTAACTTAAGTATACATAGTTGCGCTCACATGATCTACCTGTTGTTGTACCAAAAAGATTTGTATTTGTGGTGGTATTGGTTTGACCAAACGGAGTAGTTTGCTGTGCATTCTGTTGTGGTTGTCCAAATAGATTAGTTCCAGATGTTGTGCCAAAGTTAAAACCAGGTTTGTTCGCTTGACCAAATGCCGAAGTTCCTGTACTTGTACCGAAAAGATTCGTACCAGCATTTTGTTGGGTACCGAAAAGATTGGTACTTGTATTTGTTGTCCCAAAACCTGTAAAAATAAAAATGCATTTGTCAGGCTTTAACAATGTATAATATAAAATATCAGTAAATCAAATTAGATTTGTTTGCTTGCCAATTACATTTAATATTTACTGATTTAAAGAAGCTACCTGCTATCATTATAAAATAAATTTTAGTGTGTAAAATAAAAATGTTTTATACTACAAAAAATAATAAAACGAACATAAAATACATAATTTTGAATAAGTTTTAATAAACCAATTTAACTTTTTAATTTTTTTATGCTTTATTACCTTTTAAATATACAAATAATTCTTGAAATATACGAATAATTCGCAAAAATTATTATCAAATATTGTATAATAAAATATTTCGAGCAATCCTTAAATTGTGAAATGTTTTTTATATAATGAATGATCAGAATGTTTCAGATGTGTGCATAATGCATATTTTGCACATGCATAAATACATGTAGGAAAATACATATATACATACAAAAAAATATTTTTTTAAGTTGATTTATATGCAAATAAAACAATAAATTTATAAATTGTTACCTCCAAAAGACTGAGTGTTAGTTGGCTGTCTAAATGCCGGTGGTGTTGTGGTATTTCCAAACAAGCCACCTGTGGTAGAACCTGTGGGTTTAGAACTAAAGAGTGATGAAGTATTGCTACTACCAAAGACAGGTGTTGCGCCACTACCAAAACTTGTTGTAGTAATGGATTTACTAAATGCAGATTGCCCAAACGGACTGTTTTGCGTCGCTGTACTAAATCCACCTTAATAGTAAATACATATTTCAAAATACATATTAAAACAATTCTCAATTATAAATCTCTTAGATAATATTTATATATACAGGATGTTTCGAATTTAAAGGGCCAAATTTTGGGAGCGTGAAGGGGATCGATAAACTAAGAAAAAAAATTCTTTGAAGATGTGCTCGTTTTTGTTTTGTTTTGAAGAAAATTGCAAAAAAAACAACAAAACAGTTTTCATTTTTGTACTTATTTATTACTTATTTATTCACATACTATTTATTCACTTATCTAATGCAGATATTGTTCAAAATGTTGACCTCTTACAATAATACACGTATTGCATATAATATGAACAGCTTATATTGCAGCCAAATACTGATCTAGTCAGTGTAATGCCTGCGTTCAGTAGAGAAAATTAATCAGTTAGTGCTTAGTGATTCTTTAACGTTGGTTCCTATACTTAGATCCAGCAAAGAATTAAAGGTAAGAACCAATCATATTAAAGAATCACTAACTGATTAATTTTCTTTGCTGAACGCAGTCAAATGCCGATCCGGCGCTTATATGTCTGGAAATCAACGCGCATACTCTCGCACTACTTCTGAAGCATTCGCTGAAGTCATACAGCCGATCACAGAAAGGGAGAAAGGCTGCAACACTTTTTTTTTATAAGTTTCGAAATGCAGCTTGTTTCACCGAGCGATTGGTTCTTATTCATGGATCCACAAATAAGAATCGATCGGTGAGTACATTCTGAAACCCATTTAAAAAAAAAGTGTTACAACTTTTCTGTGACTGGCTGTACACAAAAACAATAATATTCCGCTTTGATACAATAATATTTCGCTTTGAAAATAATAATATTCCGAATATTATGTTTTGCGATTTTCTCAAAAACTAGCATATCTCAATAACAAGCAAAAATAAACATATCTCTAAAGAACTTTTTTTCTTAATTTATCTATTCCTTTGCTCCCAAAGTTTAGCAATTTAAATTCGGGACATCCTGTATAATGTACTTACTGAATGATGTATTTCCAGTTTGTCCAAACATATTTAATGTTAAGTAAATTACAGAATTTTGTTACAGATTTCACCTGAAATAAAAATAAATTAAGATTATTTCTGTATAAAACAACTTTTTTATATTAACGTATAATTTATTTATATAATTGTTATATTATAATTAGCACATATTATGTATTCCAGAAAAAATGAAAATTGGTACATTAATCAAGAATTCTTGTACCATTATTACACTGATTAATGTTATCAATTCAAGAATTATTACTTTACAATATGTTCAATGATCAATGTTTTTACAAACAATATAATCAAACTATTAATAACATCCTCTGTAATATATATATCTTTAAAAATACTAAAACAATTGGAATATCGTAAATATACTTTCGTTTTAGTATAAAACAATTTTTTCTATAGTTTTTTTCACCTGAAAGTATATTTAATGTACTTTCAGGTGAAAGAATATATTTGTTGAAAGATTTTGTAGTCTTTTTTTTATTTTTTTATACATGTAATTTTATACACACACATATATATATATATATATATATATATATATATAGGGCATGAACTCGAAAAAATCCGTATATAGAAAAATGCTCATATTTTTTTTAATGTACATAGAATATTCATATTTGGCATAAAGTTAGCTAACAGGTATACGTGAAAGATGGCATGGTCAAATAGACCTCACATGACTTAATTGGAAAAATGGCGTAAAGTGAAGATGTTCGTAAATCGTTTGCGCACACACAAATGGAATATCCAGGTATATATGTAAGAAAGATTGCCATAAAGCTACAATTGGTAACTGTTTCAGATGTCTTGAAACAATTTTCAGAACATCAAATTATTGATCGCAGGTCTGAATCTGGAAGAAAAAGCCGTTCTGCATATCCTAAGACAGAGAAACGGATTGTTAAGCTATTCAGAGAAAATCCCAATTATCGTTATGTGATGTGGCAAAAATAACAAGTGTATCACAACTTGTACATTTACAAGAAATTAAGTGGGTGAAGACCGCAAGAGATGAAGAAACACAACAAAGAAAAAATTAACAACATTAAATCCATATAATATTCCTGCTTTTCCACAGATAATACATAACATTTTTACTCTACAAGATTACATCCAATTACTCTTAATAACAATGGTTCAATTAATATTACCATAAAACCGTCTTTTTTCCTAATACTAATGACTCATCCTCCTTAAGCATCATGAAAAACAAATGGTTTGTCAATCTTTCCAAACACACCATTCCACTTGATATACAATGCCTACTGCAACTGGAGAGCAATTTTTCATTACCATCTCCTAATATTAAGAAGAACTGCTTTGAATTCATAAAAAGTTTTGAAAATAATATTAAAAAATTGAACAAAACTATTGTAGTGGAATTGAAGAATTCGATTCCCATTATTGAAAAAATTGCTTCTTTGAGACCGAAAAATGAACCTAAACAAAAAATTAATGGCTTTATTAAAAAAAAAAACAAAAGATTTTATCAAGATTAATCAATAAATTTTATTTACAATAGTTGATAAAGACAACGTCACTGTTGCTTTAGATAAAGAGGAATATAAACAAAAAATAACTAACATATTAAATGATAGTAACACTTACACTATGATTAGCAGGGATCTGTTTGCACATTATTGACGAAATGGCTAAAACATGAATACATAAGGTCTGTTTTTTATTGCTGTACTTTAAACCGGGGTAATAAGTTAATTAAAGTGAAATGTATATTTGTTTCATTTCTTGCACTGTGTGTACCAGTTCAGAAAGTGCAGCAATAAAAAACAGACCTATAGATTCAACTTGTTATAAAAAATTATACTGCAGTGATGGGACATTACCTGGGGCCTATGGACTTCACAAAGTTAATTTTCCACTTAGAATTATCATCCCGTCGATTGACAGCCCACTGTATGCCTTAGCTACTTTTTTAAATTATATTCTAAATGAATACATTCCAAAACTTCAGAGCCACATAGAAAATAACTTCGAACTAGTACTAGACGAACTAAATGGATTTTCCTTAGACAATAATTTTTCTCTAATATCATTGGATATGATTTTTATATATACCAATATACCATAGATTTGGTTATTAAAAATGTATCGAACAAATGGAATTTTATATCGCGTTCTTGCAATACTGCATACACCCAAAGATGAATTTTTAAAAGCCTTACAATTGATTTTCGAATCAACTTATTTCACTTTTGACAACAATATTTACAGATAAAAATTTGGCACGCCCATGGGCTCCCCGGGTCTCCCACCATTGCAGATCTAGCTATGCAGGATCTTGAGATTATGGCTTTGGAGAGGTTCGGAGTTGAGTACCTTTTTATTTCAGATACCTTGATGACATCGCAACGGCTGTCCCCAATCACTTAATTCACAAATTTTTAGACAAAATTTTAGTGTTTAATTCACTACATCCGAGGCTACAATTCACGTTAGAAGTTGGAGGAGATAGATTAAAGTTCCTCGATGTCACCATTATAAATTACAATAGTAAATTAGAATTCAATGTATGTCACAAACCAACGTTTTCGGATAGATACCTCAACTTCTTATCTTTCTACTCTCTTTCGCAGAAAAGGGATGTTTTGATGGGTATAGTGGATAGAGTTTTTCTGCTATCACATCCTAAATATCACCAAGAGAAGTTTGAATTTATCATTACAACTTTTTTAAATAATGAATATCTAATTAAATTTATTTTTGATACCATAAATTCACGGCTAAGGTCTCTATATAAACGGAAGACTCTTAAATAAGTCGAAGAAAAATCAAATGAAATAACAGAGAAAGAAAAAATCTCCTGGTTTATATACGATTCCTTTTTTGCCTGACATCTATAATAAATTTAAGATCACTACAGATCTTAAAGTTAAATTATCGTTCTTTAGCTTAAATAAACTCAATTTAATAATAAAAGGACAAAAAGATGTTCTCTTGCAACAATTTAAAAAAAAACGTCGTTTATAAAATGTTCTGCAAAGATTGCAATGCATTCTACATAAGGCAGATCGGGAGGAAATTAAAAACTAGAATTACCAAACACACACACCGTAATGACATTAATAAAAAATCAGGCAATTTATCTGTTATATCTAAACATAGAGTCCATTTAGACCATCAATTTGATTGAGATCATAGGCGCCGACTATGGGGGGGGGGGGGGGGGGGGAGATCAACACTGTAAGGGTACATTCCATTTAACGCCCGCAACGCTTGTGGAATCATTTCATCCTTGTTGTTTATCAAATGTTAAACAAGGACAAACGATGCTCGTGAGCGTTGCGAGCGTTAAGTAGAACACAGCCTAAATGAGCGTCGAGCAGAAACGACATATAGCGGATTTATTGTCAGAGTTGGTGAAGTTTGTAAAAATAATTTTACCGATTCCTGTAAGTACGTGTACAGTCGAGCGTTCATTTTCTTCCTTAAGGAGATTATTAACGTATATACGAAGTACTATGACGCAACAAAGATTAAATTCTGTAAGTATTTTACATACACATGTAGAAGAAACAATGTAATTAGATGTAAATGCTGTTGCAAATGAATTTATAAATCGAACTGAAAATCGGCACGCTAACTTCGCACGGGAATAGGAAGACCGCGCACGTAAAGGTAGTACATACACTGTAATGAAAGTATGTAAATGCAATGTAAGTATCAGGAAAGAAAAGA